TCGGGCTCCCTGCTCAGCGGGGAGCCTGCTTCTCCCTCTCCCTCTGCCCCTCCCACCCCACTCATGCTCTCTCTCTCAAATAAAAAAATCTTTAAAATAAATAAAAGTAAACAAATAAAACGCCGTCATAACATAAACAAGTGCAGGCTACGGGCATATCCAGACTAAAGGACAAACGCCTCTGGAAACACACACACGCCCTAAGAGATGGTGCACCTCGTTCTGTGAGGGCGCCGGGAGCAGAACAGAGCTGGCCGGTGGACTTCAGGGAGCGAGCCTTGCGGCCGGCCGACAGGAAGACACCGGTTCTCAGACAGAGCCGGCAGCTGACTCCGCAACAGGGGGCCTCCCTGCGTCCCCACTCAGGGGCTGGATGGCCAGTCACTGGGATCACAGGCGGTCTGGGAGTGGGTTGGGTGCTCGGGTACGGAGTTTCTGCGAACCTCTCTTTAACGGCCGCTACAGTGTGTCCCCAGCCCCCCACCTTGCCGTCACCAGGACTGAAGACTCATTCTCTCAGCTGCTGGGTGCTGGCCTATCCCAGGGGCACAGATGACGGTGTGCCTTCCAGCAGACAAGGTCGGGACCAGGGGTCAAATTCCACCTCATCCCAGGGCTGGTCTAACCCTGCTCTGTGGATCCCTAGTCTTACCGGAAGGCGACCATGTGATTGGTGTGGGGGTAGCAGGGGGCTCTGAAAAGACAGACTTCTGGACCTCACCCCTAAATCAAGTACAGCACTCGGTTTGTAACACGTAGGTAGATACATAAACACACAGATAAGTGTCTGTGTATCTATCTTTCTACCTATCTATGAAATCAGGGACATAAACAAGATTTTATGTGAACTAGCTAAAAGGGCTATAAACATTTGCCCTATGGGTGCAACACTGGATGGAAGACACGAGACTGGGAGGGGTGGGTGTGGGCTGCTAATTCTCACTGTAAGCCTTCAAGAGTTATTTTTTAAAAAATATATAAACATTATTTTGAATTATTAAAATCTCAAACTATTTTAATTAAAAGTACTATAAGAATGGAGGAAAGTTATTGGGAAAAAAAAGGTTTCTTGGGCCAAAAATGTTTTAGAAACCCTCTTTTTATAGTACATGAAATCTGTGCAAGTGTCTCTTGGGAAGAGATCATTGCTGTGAATTTCTTTGGGAGGCTCGAGGCACACGGACCCCTCCGGATCTCGTGGTTACTGTCCCTGTGCCTGAATGGGACACAGTCCCCTTTCCCCACCCCCAGGCTCAGCCAGCTTCTCACCTTCCTCCGGGCTTTAATGCGCTTGTAGACATAGTCAGAGAACGGGCTGCAGGGGATGAAGCGGCCAGCCCCCTGGGTCACGTGCAGGTTGCCATCTTCCAGCATGATCTTGCCCTGGCAGATGACCACCAGAGGGGCCCCTCGCAGCTCCAGCCCTTCAAAGATGTTATACTCTGCAGCCTAGAGACAGGGACGAGGGGCAAAGCCATGAGTGGGGGCGTAGGACGGTGAGGGGAGGAACACGGTTTTCCTGGGCTTGGGACCCTGCCTTCAGCCTCAGTATAATGGACGCACCAGGGAAGCCACGAAAAGCTTCCAACACCACCTGTAAGCTTTGGGTGCGTAGAAGCCCCGGGAGAGAGATGGCTGCTAAGCAGAGACTGGACCTCCCAGCAAAGAGAAGCATCAATCTTTAGAAAGGCCCTGGTGTGGACGTATATTTTGTCACTGGCAGTGTTCAAAGAGAAGCTCGGGAACTGTGAGGGATGCTGTTTTTGACACTCCTGTACGTGCTGGGTGAGTGGGTGGGGTCCGTGACCCTTAGGTCTCCACTAGCCCAAAATTAAATGACGTGATGTGACGCGATGTTTAAATGAAGGCCATCCCCACCAAAAAATGGGATTTCTCTCTACTGCCTTCATTTACTCACCAAGCGCAAGGCATTATTGCAAAGCATGAAGGACATCTGTTTGGAGTCTGTACTCCAAAAGAGCTGTGTGGGTCTGAATCCTAACTTCACCACTTACTTCCTGTATGAATTAACTGAATCTCTCTGCACCCCCATCTCCTCCTCGATAAAATGCGGATGATAACAGTGCCTACCTGTCAGGGACTGTTACGGAGATTCAGTGAATGAAAAGCACACTGCCTGAAACATAAATGCTTTAAAAATAGGAACTATTTTTACTAACAGGGATGAAGCCCTTTCCCTTAGGCACTGGGCTTTAATTATGAAACTCCTCATGAGGAAGTTGTCCGGGCTGCTGACCAATTTTTTTCACGTTCCCTCTCCTTCTCGGTGCAGGGGGGATCCCTGCCCTCCCTGCCCTCCTGCGGTAAGGTCAAGCACGGGGCTGGCTTGGGCCAGCGCAGTGTGAGAGCAAGTGCCGCATACCGCTTCTCTTAGGAAAGCTCTCCGAGCCAACCCCAGGGACCATGACCTGGTCCCCCGCCTCAGCGATCTCGGGGGCGGGTGTAGACATGGTGCCTCCGTGCTGAGTGACTGTGCTGGGAGCAGCCCCCTGCTGACCCACCCGTACGTAACCTGCTGAGGTGTGACGTCACCGAGAATTTGGTAAGGTCCGTGACTGTGACCCATCCCGGTCTAGCTGGCCTGGGACAAGGCACACACACGCATCTCCCCTGACCGAGTTCCTCACGAGCCTTCTCCACGCCGCTCTCGTCCCGCCAGCGCCAGCCTTACCGACTGGTGGCTCTTGGCGGAGACGATCTTCACCGCGTCCGGGTCCCAGATCACCAGGTCGCTGTCAGAACCCACAGATATTCTCCCCTTGCGGGGATACAGGTTGAAGATCTTGGCGGCATTGGTGCTTGTCACAGCCACGAACTGGTTTTCATCCATTTTCCCGGTGGCCTGTTGGAATACCGAAAAACCTCAGCGCAGGGCTCCTGCATTCGGAGCACGGTGACACAGACCAGAAACACACAGCTCCCACCCGCAAGCTGCCCAGCCGGCTTCGCCGTTGCCTTTGGAAGGCAGTGACGACTCCTGGAGTGTGCGTTTTCTCTGGCTATGTGCATACACTCACTGCTTTGCCCCTCTAATTCCAAAAAGAATTACAGAGTTCCCAGTAAAAACTAATGTGGTCACGGGCCCACTTTTTAGAGATTTGTTTGTATTTGCATGGTCACAGGATGAATATGGAAGAGCCTCCCCCAAATGATAATAACGGTTAACCCTGGGTTGTCGAATTATGATGGATTTTTGTTTTCTTCCGTGTCTGTGTTTCTCTGTCCTTTCCAAGTGCTCTTTTAATGAGAACGTATCATGTGCGTAATTAGAAAATACACATATTATTTTTAACAATTCCAGACTGTACCAACTATATATATATAAAAAACAGTATTTAAGAAAAAAAACAAAACCTAAGTATGTGAGAGAGGAGACAAAAATATTTATACTTTCCCTCTTTACAAAACAAAAAGCCTGGATAAGAAAAAAAGAATTTAGTTTTGAATCTAACTTTGAGCTTCCTAGGAGCCAAGATGAGAAGGGAAATAATTTGGTAGCTTACACTGTGTAGATGAATGAGGCATTAGTTCATATGCAATGTATGTGGCTCAGAAATAAGTATGTTTAGAGTTTTTAAAATGAAAGAGAGCGGGGGGGCGGGGGTGCCTGGCTGGCTCAGTTGGTGGAGCGTGTAACTCCTGCTCTCGGGGTTTTGTGAGTTCGAGCCCCACGTTGAGTGCAGACATTACTTAAAAATAAAATCTTTAAAAAAATAACAAAATAAAAAAATAAAAGAGAAGGAAGTGGTCAACTTAATAATGAGTTAATTATTATTTTTGCTAAAACCTTTGGGACAGCCTTCATTTGCATGGCTCTTTTTGTCAGCCTCTATCATGTTATTAAAGAAAATAAAACCAGGCCTACTGCCACAAGACATTGGTTGACCATCTCTCGTACAGCCTGGATGATCACACACTCGGGGAAGGGTATCCTTGATGAGAGAGTTGACTTCAGTTTCTTAGGCATATACCCCTTGCTTACCCTTTCAAGGGGTTCTATCCAGCCCTTCCAAAAGAAGGGATAACACTCCCCAGAAAAAGAATTTTAACTCACTATTAAGTACAGGTCATTCATGCCATCAGATGAAGGGTCTGTACATGTGGCTCCTAGTTCTTAACAGTCTAGAGGAGGTCTCCTCACAATCTCAAGGTTCATCCCTCTAGAAATGACATTCTTGAACCACTTGAGACACGTGGTTCCAGAAACATCTCATTAGGTAGGAGGGCTCACCTACAAAGAAGCAGTGGCAGGAGGCTCTGATCTGGCGCCGGCCCCCGCCCATGACCTTGATCCTTACCACTGCCTTGTCCCAGATGACAGACATCCGCTCTTCCACCCCATTGGTGCCCTCAGGGATGGCTGTGAAGTTGTCCTTCCCAATCGCCTTCTGGGCGGTGCTGAAAGTGCAGTGGGCACTCCCAGAGAGCTGCAGGTCTCCACTGGCAAAGGAAAAAAGCTCCATGTAAACTGGAGAGGTGGCTTAAAGGCACCGCTGGGGACAAGCCTCGAGTGTCTAATGTCAGCATTCAGAAGGACAAGACTTGAGTTTAGGATCCTTTCTGTACTTCTTACCGGCTGTGTGAGTGTAAGTGAGTTCTTTCCCTCCCTAGGGCTTACAGTGAGCCCATCTGGAAAACGAGGGGGTGGGGTCGGATCATCTCTGGGTAACAAAATAAAAGGGACCCAAATGAGTGATGGGACTGACCCTACATGTCCTGGGGGCGGGGGGGAGCAGCCGCCAATGAGTCTCCCTTTAATTTCAGTTAGGTGCTGTTCAAAATGAGGCACATGATCTGACCCTCAATTGCTTAACCTGTAAAATGGAGATGACAGTCCCTCACTCATACAGTTGTCGTGAGGATCAGTGAGATCCTGTGGCACATGATATGTGTTAACTGCTACTGACGTTATGAATATGGTTACTGTTAGTAATGTGTAAGCTATGATGGGGAAGAGCCTGTTGTTCTCTATGTGTTCTCCTCACTGCAGACTCTAGTCTAGCTGATGGATGGGCTGCTCCAGTCCTCATCCCCGGGTCCCACGAGGTTTCCATGGGACACAGGCCGCTCGTCATCCCCGCACCAACCTGGCCAGCAAGGAGTTGATGTAGTCAGGAGTGGTCGGGTCAGGGCTCAGAGGCGGGGATGTCACAAAGGCGGCTGCCTTAGCCCAGTTCTTGCTCCAGTAATGGGTCCCATCTGTGCCGAGGCTGGCAGTGATGGGCTCACCAAAGACCACGTTTCCTGCAAGGGTAGGAAACAGGTGAGGGGTTTGCAGAACATCTGTGCTGCTCCGGGCCTGGCTCAGGTAATCACAGCCCCTAGCCCTCCTCAAGGCTCGTGGCTCTGAAGTCAGGCAGGCCTGGGGTCAAGTCCATGTACCCACCTTTTCCAAGCCTCTGCTTTTTCTATCTGCTAAACACGAACAATGTTGTGTCCCCGAGTTCTCAAGAAGCCATCGGTTATAAGATGCAGCTTTAAGCCCCAATTTGAGGCAAATTAATATTTGAGGCCAAACAAAAAATGTATACAGATTCTAAGATTCATTGACATTTCAGAAATATTAAAATGTGAACTAGGTCTGTCCTGGAATAGATGAAATAAGACCATCTCTACTCAGGATAGTGAAAAAGAAAGGATCTGGCGTGTAAAAGTGTCTGGCACACAGGAGATGCTTGGGGACTGTGACTTCCTTATACTACTGCTACTCCTTCCCACGGTGGAGGCCCAAAGCCCCCAGTGTGCCTGCATCCCCGGGAACTGCTAGATCCTGCTTGTTGCAAGGACATGCTTTGGTTCCACAAAGTAAGTCCACTCCCTTGGAGAAGAGGTTCTCATGATCTTTCCACCATGCTTGTTATTCTGTAACCTAAAACAAGGACTGATCTGCTCGAGGGCACCCAATGACCTGGGACACATCAAAGATGAGGCTCACTTCTTGGACCCTGTGTCTGCAATTCAGGGCTTATATGCCCAAACCAAGCAGCGAGGAGGAGGGATACTGGGAAATAAACTGATCTAAGCTGAGCTTCTTAAAGAAGAAGGGACAGAGAAAGAGAAGGCAAATGCTGTCTCACAGAAGGTTGGTTGGTACCAAGTTTCTCTACACCAGAATCTTGGGCAAAAGATGCCCCATAAAGCCCTGAACTTCTCTAGCTTCAGTCCTCCATCTTCCACATTCAAGTTCCCTCCATTGTAAAAGTGTAGGAAGGCTCTATGGCCAAAATTATAAATAGGTCTTGCCTTCCTTCAACTCTAATCTATTGGTTTGATTGCCTGGAATTCTTTGTCAAAAGAATTCTAAATACGCTTTGGTTTCACTGCAAGAGTCAAGACTGATTTGTGATGTCTGCCATGGGCAAAAAAAGGAATCCGTGGCAATGATTCATATATGACAGCCCTGCTCTTTGGGAGGATGAGAAAAAGGATCCACACAAGACTAATGAGAATTTCAAGGGCCCTCTAAAGCAATTTACCCAACTAAATCATATAGGACCACAAAGAAAGAAATGGAGGTCAAGGCAAGCCCCAGGTACTCCTAAGAGAAATAACAATCTTAAAAGTGGAAGAACTCTGGGGCACCTGGTTGACTTAGTCGGTTAAGCTTCTGCCTTCAGCTCAGGTCACGATCCCAGGGTCCTGGGATCGAGCCCCACGTCAGGCTCTCTGCTCAGCAGGGAGTCTGCTTCTCCCTCTCCTCCCCACTCGTGCTCTCTCTCACACAAATAAATAAATAAAATCTTCTAAAAAAAAGGTGGAAGAACTCTCCCTTTGGACTATCTTTAAATGGAAGAGTAGAATAAGGAAAAATTGTAATTGTAGTTGGGTTTGAATACCTGCTCTCCCAGCTGGGAGATCCTGACACATTGTGCTTCAATTTCCTCATCTGAAAAATGGGGATAATGCCTATTTCCCAGGGTTCTTTGACAATTCTACATAACAATAAATTTCAAGTATTTACCTCAGTGCGGGGCATACAGTTGGTCCTCATTAAACTGTGGCTCCCTGATATTAAGTCTGAGCAGGCTTGCAGAGTTGCTGAAGAACACTCGGTGAGTGAACACGCTGGACTTCAGGTCAGGAGGGAAGACGGAGCCCTGCTACACTCTCTCCCTGCTCTGAGTACTCTCTGCTCCTTCCCTGAGACTGACAGGTCCCGAGATGTCTCCTGGCTTCCATGTCAGGAGTCAGTGTTTCAGCCCTGAAACAAGGCCTCCCTGCCTCCCTGCCACCCTGGGACACAGCTGTCCTAGCTCTTTTGGCCAGACAATCATGAGCCAGAAGGCGAAGGCTGAGGCATCTTTCTCCAGGAGTTTAAAATAAGACCCAGCGTACAGCGGAAGCACTCTGTCCTTGAGACCCTCAGGTCATCCTGAGAATGGCTCTGAGGGAGGATGCAGCCATGAGCAGAAGGCACGAAAGCAAGTACGGCAGGTGGTCTTGGGGAGCGGGTGGGAGGGTTCCCCATGCATCCTGCTTGCCTGCTTGCTTTCTTGTTTTGTTTTGTTTTGTTTTGTTTTTTTCTTTCTCCAAGAGCGGGTAAGGAAGACTGGGCTACTTTCCTGGCACTCACCCAATGACTCATACCCAGCACAGCAACCACACCATGTCACGTTGAGACATTTAAAGGCAGAGAAAGAAAACAGCAGGCTTACTGTGAGCAGGGTAAGGCAAGAGATGCCCCAGAATGTGCTAGCTACAAAGACTGTCTAGACAATTAGGAAGAATCCCCTCCCAGAAGAAAAGGGTCCCCTCTGCCAGAAGGGCAGGCAGCTCAACATTCAGCCATCAGAGCCAGGGGAACTATTTTTAACCACCCCAGCCACCCCCCATGCGGAGCTTTGCAGACCAGCTCAGAGTTGGGTGGCTGAGTCCCTTATCGGGGCTCTCCACGACCAGAATAGTCATGTGTTAGAGACCCATTCATCCCCTTTTCCTAAATAACCTGTGTGGCTCAGGTGGTGGGCCCCCGCCCCTGCATGCTGCCCTCCCCGCCCCAGCCAATCAATTACAGCATCCCCAGAGCAGACGCTGGCTCAGGGAGAGGCCCATGACCCAAGCCGAGGCAATCAGAGCCCTCCCGGGCACCTCTGCTGCAGCTTTTGGAAAAGACGTACCCTACTTCCTCATCATGCCCCCCATCAAGAGCTGAGGACAACAGATGCCTCTTAGCATTTACTCTTGTCACTGTCCACCCTGAAAATAAAGCCGAAAGAGAGAAAAGCAGACAAGAAAGGATGAAGAGCGATAGAGCCCCAACATCATTGTTGAAACCCCTTGATCCAGCTATGCCTGAAACACCTTCAACCAATAATTTACTTTTGTGTGTTTAAGTCCATTTGAGTTGGATCTTTGACTTCTGCACCCAATATAATCTTGACTAGTATGTCCATTTACAAAGCTCAGATAATGTGAACTGACAATGAAGGATCAAAGGGAGGAAGAAAGATGCCTCAAAGAACTGACCAAAGCTGTGCCATCTTGGACAAACCACCCACCCTTCCTGAGCCTAGTTAACTCACCTGCCAAGCGGGAGAGATGCCAGGGTCCTGCCATCCACATAGGATGCCGAGAGGATCCCCTGCGCTAACAGGGAGGAAGGGCTTCCCAGAGAGCAAGGCAAGGAGCAAAAGAGGCACTGTTTCTACAGGACAGCCGGAGGGGGAAGGAGCCACATGGCTGGTGCTAAGCTCTTGGGAGCACCAATCACCTTTTTTCCTGGCTTGCGAGATCAGGTCCGCCGCACTCTTGCTCATGACCTTCGTGACGTAAAGTGGACAGTTGGTTTGGCTCGCAATGGTGATGGCACGGAACACAGCCTCGGCTTCCAGCTGCAAAAAGAAGTCCCGGGGGTCAAGAGAAGCACGAGCCTCTCAGAGCACCACTCCCCAGCCTCTGCGAGCTGAGAATGCAGCGCAGCGCAGAGCTGAGAAGCCTAGACGATCTGCAGCTAGAGGCCCCCGACCCACCTCGTCCCCGCTGTGGCGCTTCACTTGGCTTCTCAGAGTCTCACCCTCACCTTCCTAGGCTGCTTCCCTCCTCTCCCTGTGATTACCCCAATGGCTGCATGTGATGGAAGCTTTTGCTCCCCAGTCTTCCCACACAGATTTTCTGGCAAAACAGCATCCCAGCACCAATATGGAAGCAAGAACCAGTAAAGGTAATTAGACATCAAATCCTTTCCTGCAGCAATTTCTTACACTCCAGCAGGCATTTCTTACACTGATAATTCCCAGGCTTCTCAGCAGAGATTTCTCTTCTTCTCGATTTCTTCCATCCCACCCTAAAGTAGAATCTACATGTTCCAATATGCTAATTTTTCCAACTTGGTTGAATTTATTCAGTAAAAATAATGAGTTTCCCCTTACACTATTAACAAAGAAGGGTGTTTAGAGCTCGGGCTCTTTCAAATGGCCTGGGTCTGAGTTCTGGTTCTGTCACAGAGAAGCTGGGCGACCTCAGGTACGGTACATAACTTCCCAAAGCCTCAGTTTCCTGTCTGTGAACTGGGGACAGTAATAGGACCTCACCCACAGGGCTGTTGTGAGGATCTAAGAGTTCATCCTTTAAGGCAACTGCCCCACCCCTGGGACAAGGCAAGTGTGCCTGCCAGGCTGGCTATTGGGCTTATTGTTGATCATAGCTCCTGACCAGTGTGGGAAAGCCTGCGTCACTGCCCAAAGCCCACGGAAGTCCAATTCAGCCCAAAGCAGGGATGCTGGGGTTCTCCCAATCAGCAACAGTTCTGTTTTGGATGGACAGAATACTCTGGTCAGCCTATGCAGCCCAAAACTTTGAAAAATACCAAAAATAGCTTGCAGATGCCTGGTGTTTGCATAATGCAAACCAGCCACTGCCCTTGGTGGGTGTGGCTCAGCAGACAGACTCTAGAACTTGACGGGTCCTGCCTGCTGGCGTCCCCAAGCTGCACTTGACTCCAAGGGAACAAGCCCCTGGAGCCCCTGACCACAGGTAAATACGGCCACCTTCCCCAAGCACCCGGACTTCAGGAGCAAAGCTCGGGTTCAGCTCTCTCTGCACCGCATCACTCGAGATGGTAGCGGCGTGTGCTCTGAACCGAAGAGGGGCCAGCTCCTCCTCCGCCCGTCCCTCCTTCTTCACACCTGCACTGTCCCCTGCATTCCCCACAGCCTCAGTCCCGGCTGCTCGGATCCCGCTCCCTCCCAGCACTGCGGATTCTTCAGCACCTTGACAACATGACTATCTTTGGAAGGTGACATCACCCTCCAGCTTCACCCAAAAGGGCTTCCAGGGTTGTCCAGCTCTACAGCCGAGAAGCTTTTTACTAAAAAGGAGACGGGAACAGGAGGAGTGGGGTGGGGAGGGGTTGGAAAAACAAACCAAGTAACAAAAATAGACTTTGCTCAGAAATCCCCTGGCTGCTGGTACAGAAATCCATCTTGCCAGCAAATCTCTAGAGCGACCAGCATTTAGGAACAGTTTGCCAAACAGGGCTGATCACCCTGGCCCACTCACACCGCGTAAACAGCTTTCCAGTCTTTCACATGGGAATAGCCAGGGCTTAACCTCTTGAGCTTTCGCTTCTTCACCCAACAGTAATGCCAACCACCCCAAGAAGCAGCAAGGACAGCTAAGGTAATGAGCACAGCGCCGGGTGCGGGCTCGTGTTCCATAGAAAGGGCCTGGTATTCAGGAGACAGACCTTTCTGGAATGCTGTGAAATAATGATAAATGATTTCAACTGGGAACAACGTCCTCGGACGCAGAGGAGTTTCTGGAGTGCCGACAGTTCTGTTTCTCCAGCCGGGCACGAGTGACACGACTGTATTCAGCTCGTAAAAATTCCTCGAATGTTTATGATAGGAACATTCGTCTGTAGGTGTGTTACCTTTTAATTTTTAAAAGCCTCTGAAAGAGATGGGCAACAGGCATACTCTCGTTTCTGGTTCTGACTCTTCCTTCTACCCTCTGCAGAGTGGGGGGCTGGGGATGACAAGCAGGAGCCGGGCTCACACCACTCGCACAGAGGGCCCTGAATGCACTCCAGGTGCCACTCCCAGGATGGCCTCCCAAAGCCAGTGTGCACTCAGCCGTGGGGGCAGCCAAGTCCCTGCTCTATGCCCTGCACTAGCAGCCGAAGCTGCCGACATCCCAAACACACGCAATCAGCCACTAGTTAGCTTTTATTCACTTGCCCGGGGCTAAGCAGGCCCTAGTCATCATTCATTTTACACGTGGGAAACTCCCATACCCAGACTTAATCATCACCTTACAACAAATGGATAAACATGAAGTCTGTGACACACCCACTCCACCGACCGCCCATATGGCTGGTATTTTATTTTGCAGGACTCAGAATATAATATGGAATAAGGGAAGCGGAAACGTCTTTGAGACGGATACTGTTAGGAAAGGGTTTAGGTATTTACCTCTCCAACTGAATACGTGTGGAGGACCCTCCACCTTGAGTTCTCTTTAGAGAGATGAGGGGTCACAAGTAAGCATTTCCCTTACATTGCTTTCCACTTTTCTCTGAGTCCCTTGAGTTGGTCCGTCAGACGTGTGGCCTTTGGAAGAAATGTTCCAATATCGCTGTCTGGTACTCACAGACTCTCCCCGTCTCTCCTCAAGGTTTGCTCCTACACCGTGTAAGCATGTGCCCGGGGAAGGCAGGCCCCACACAAACACTCCAAGTGTCAAATGAGCAGCAGGCCACACGCCAGGCTGCTGGGGAGTATAGTCACAGGCGTCTCCCAGAAGATGCTGGAAAGACAGAGCACCTCCACTGCTATGCTGCCCCGGCCCCCCGCAACTCACCTCCTCTGGTCTGCTCAGCACATGGCCTTCGGGGCCAGTGATCCCCATTTCCAACATCCGGGTTTGCTCCTACAATGAGAAAAGAACACAAAACAGTTTTGAGATAAGCTCCGCTGAGGCGTGGAAAAACCACGCTGGCATCTTTTAATCTGAAGCAAAGAGTTCAAGGGAACAAAAAGAATAAAACGTGTATGTTGAATACATTTGTTAATGCTCCGTCTGGAATTGTAAAATAGGGTCAAGTCTTAACTAAGAGGAGAAAAAAACGTTTTTTTAATTAAATGGAGGGCAGCAGAGTATCAGAATTTTTTCGCCGTTACACATCGAAAGTCACACTAGCTCGCTTATTCCTTATAGTTTCCTGCTGTGTTTCGCAAGGTTTAGTCGCCTCCCACCTACATCAGGATCACCTGGCTTGCTTTTGTGGCCGTGCGGCTGTCTGGCCTTCTCCAAATCAGGATAGAGAGGTGAAGATCTAGGAATCCGCACTTTCACAAAGCCCTCGGGCTTTCTTGTGGTTTAAATGTATGGCTGAAACAAATGGACTCAGAATTTAACCAGACAAAATAATGCCTCCAAACAGCATTACCTGACTCAGGTAATCTTGTGGTCAGATTCTATTTAATTAGGCTGTTTTGTGACAGAACTGCCTACCCCTCACAGCTGATGGCGAAATTCTTCAGACTTGTGGCCAGCTTTCCGGAAGGAGCAGGGCGCTGGGCAGTGAGCACACATGTGGGCTAATTGGGACTGGCAGGAATCCTAAGCGGCCGTATCTGCAGTTTTGCTGGCCTTCACTCTCCAAGTACGAAGGCCAGTGCCAATGAACCTGGCCGCTGCAGAGGGGGGCCAGGGAGAGGGACCTGAACAAATCCTTGTGGCACTCTGGAACTATGAGATGTGGAGAAAGGAAAGGAGTCCTTCTCCCTGCGAAAGAAGAACTGTTTTTTGTTGTTCTTGTTTTTTGTTTTGTTTTTAATAATATAAATCATTTTAGAGGCGTATGAGGACAGATGCATACGCTCTAAGCAATTGTGAGAAGTGAATGATCACTGTCTCCATCTACAACAGGATTAGAAAAAAGGTCAGAGGCTGAGTTTTGCAGCAAAGGACTTTCACTTTTCATTCTTACTGTTCCATTTCTCGAAACTTGGACTGAACACTATTTCTTCTGAACTCTGGAGAGCTTCCGCTCTGTGTTGCCTCCTGAAGTCGCACAAAGGTCGAGGTGTCCAACTACAAAGCCTCTTCTGTCTCATCTGACACTCACGTCTACCTTGTACAAGAGGGCTGGCGCCGTGCACAGGAGGGAGGGAGCTCAAGCCCTGGCTTCCCAGCATGTTCACATCGCGTGCCTGAAGTTTACTACCGACCTCCTACCTCAGAATTTCTGGAACCAGGAGAATCCCAGGAATCCCTAATTTCCGCAGGTGATTTTAAGGGAATGCTGGGAAGTCCCATTCTGAAAGCCCCCATGGTGTCCCTATAGCTGGAAGGTTAAGAAGGATGAGGTGGCCGTGGGCACCATTGCTGTAATTACATCTTAGTTTAGGGCATGACACAATTTTGGTTTGCTCCATGAGGAAAGGAACCCTGTCTTTTTCATCTTCCCTCGCCAAGGCTTGGCACATAATAGGTGCTCAAGAAATACTGTTAGAGGAACGGCTAAAGATGCCACCCTCTCAGATGGTCCTGCTGGCTGGAAACTTTTGAAAATGTCCATGGCTGGTACCCATGAGAGAGCGTTCTTCTTGCTCTTTGGTGACTTCTGCATCAACTCTGGGTACAGCAGCTGCCTTCATTTAGACAATGGGATAAAATCTTTCGGCTCAATCTGAATAAAATAAGCACACACAAGAAACTCATTCAAATGGAAGAATGCCCTTATTCTTTCCCTGACTGAGAACAGAGCCTTCACAAGGTAGGGAAGAGAGGGGTTTGTGGGGGGGCGGGGACCAGAGACAGTTCGGTGCTAAGAAGCCACGAGAGGAAGCTGGAAAGGGGGCTTAGCACTGCAGCCCGTTTGCCTCCACAGGGCCTTGGAGGAAGTAGCAGGGAGTTTGGTTTCTAGGGCATCTGGAGGGAGGGCTGGGCCCTCCAGTTGCTGTGCTGAAAATGCAGAGCAAGAGGACGAGTGACAGCTCTAACACCACGGGGATGCCTCTCACGAGCACTGGACCCTCTTTGGAAAATGATTTCATTATCTCTCAGTGTGTGGGGGACGTGGGAGAAGGCTGTCAGGGGCCTACTTAATCTCCTTGGTCAGTAAGAGGAAACTACACATTTAGCTCACCTCCTCCGCTGATGAGATAACACCCAGAGTCTGAAATCCTAACGGCAGGAGCCCTGCACTGCCGGGACCTGCTGTCTCTCTGGGGGGCCTGCCGCGGGACGCGCTGTCTCTCGGGGGGGCCTGCCGCGGGACGCGCTGTCTCTCGGGGGGGCCTGCCGCGGGACTGGTGGCACGTGACACCAGCTCTGGCGAAGCCACACCACCTCAGAGCTAAGATTTTCTCCTCCCAGTTACTGGCTGTGATCCTTGGGCCGGTGACCTCATCCTTCTGGGCCCCATATTCTCCTCTACAAAACAGGGCGGATGGTAGCCATCTTTGAAGGGCCAGGTGAAGAGTGAGAATACACCAGAGTCCGTACCGGAGCCTGGCACACAGCAGCAAGCCTTCACCACATGGTACCTGGCGTTAGAAGCTCACAGGTCTGGGACAAGGGTCGACCCCACGGTTCCCACACCCCTGCGGACCACATTCACCAAGTCCTGGACAACTTCTAAAACGAAGGCACAGCCCAAGGACTAGTGAGCTACGGGGTGCATCTGTTTTGGCTCACCTCAGTAACCTCATGCCTGGCACAAAGCGCTTAGGAAATACTCTGAAAGAATGAATAATGGTTTTTGCTGTGAGTATTATTAAATGGACCAAGAGAGCTCCCACTCTTCTAGCAGCCTCCTCCTAGTGGAGGCCAATCTTGAATTCTTCTGAGATAAACAAGACCCTGGCTAAGACACATCTGTGCATCCAGCCCATTAAGCAACCCAGGAGATGGAGAGAGTGCCTTCTGCTTCCTCATAAACGATCACTTTGGGCCTTGGGGCCTCGCTTTCCTCACTCTTGCCTCGGGTTTCTCAGTACACCTTCTAGGAAACCAATGGGGTGTCTGATCCCCACAAGACCCCTGTTCTTTATTACCTAAAGCCGTGAGCTCTGCAGTCCTGGATCGGGTTTCTGAGAAGCGCTGCCTTAGGGTTCTTCTCTAGGACAAAGACTGTCACATAGCTTGGGCTTACTTTTCCAAGAGAATCAGCAATGCTCTCCCACTAAATGGCCTAATTTGAAAACTTCTTCTGGGATGCCTGTTCTGATCCCCCAGGATGGCCAGACAGCCCCCCTTTATACAGCATCCTCAGCTTTCTCCCTCGCTTGCCTTCACTGCCTCCTCCTAGCCTGGGACGTTCTTTAGGGCAGGCTCTGTTTTTAGCACAGGGACAGAGCCTTGCGCCCATGAAGAGCTCACGCAATATTGAAGGAACAAGGAAAGAGATGGGCCGGAGACCCCAGCCCATGCAGAGAGCACACCCTGGGGAGCTGCGTGGTGTTACCTGGGCAATGATATCCCCATTCTCGGCATGAACCTGCGCAATGGCTCCCAGCTCACCCAGACAGGTGAAGATCTCGTAGAGCTGAAAGAGAAAGGAGTCGCCATCACCTTCACAAGCCACGGAGGCTTTTGGCAACTTCACACAGGGGTCCATCACTAGGGCCACAGATAAAACAAATGAGGAAAACCAGAGGAAATCAGTGATTAGGGCAGAAACACAGACTAAAGCACGCACGACCAAAGAGTGCGAGTCCACAGGAACTCTAGGAGACTGTCTCTATAAAGAACACGTCGTGTCTCCTCCGTGGACAGGGCAAATGTACAACAAAGTGCTATCGAGGCTTCTATTCTGCCTCGCGCACACGTTTTTAATGGTATTAGATCCTGTTTTGCTGGGACAGACCTTCACAATCCTTCTCAACCAGTGCTCCTGAGAGCTGCTACCACCTGGCCAGAAGCTCAAAGGACAGCTGGCTCCCCTATCCCCTAACCCTTCAAGGTAGATCTCCCCCCACCTCCCAACCAGGAGGGATGGGAATTCACTCCCTGCACTTCCTCTGACAACGTGAGGTTCATCTGAAACCGACACAAGCCATGAGACTGTCTCGGGGAGAGTCACAGGCAAGCTACTACCCCAAACAGCAGGGGGCCCTCCTTAATCCTGCGAGGCAGAGCACCTCGTACTTCCACTGAGCTCATGCGGGGTTTAGGGCTTGTGTGAGAGACGGAGATTCCGGCATGCCTCTCCTCTTGGCCTTTTGAGAAAGCTGCTGCCAGTGGAAATTCTAGCTCCTGGTCTGCCTTGCCATGGGCACCCTGCCTGCTACCTTATTTAAAATGTGGCATGGACTACGAGGGCTTTAAGAAGCACTCTGGTCTAGCAGCCTCCCACAGCGACCACTGTGACTCATGCTCTAAGAGCCAAGGTCATCGGCAACAACAGGAAACCCATCCAGATACCCCAAACCACCCAGCAATGGCTTGTTACCTCTGTGTTGGACACTTGATACAAATCCTTATAGGCCATGTAAACCATGAAGGAGTTAACCCCTGCAAGAGGGAAGGGAGGGAAAACAGGAAGACAACAACATTAGCATGACCGCTCTCCTTCCTTTGCTCCCGTCGCCCATGGGGTCCAAGTGCATTACAGGCGCTTGTCCAATATAAAGCAGATGCTTCCCATTCTCCATCCTCTCCTCACGTGCAAAAGCAGCCGTGCCTACGTGGCGTCACAGCAGAATGGGCTCTGCTGCACCTCTGTCTTGCCCCCCCCACCCCCATTCCCCAGCCCAGAGGGTCAGTAAGCTTGGCTGTTGCTCGAGGCAGTATGCACCACCGAGAATCGGGGGCAGCAACACATACTAGTTCAGCGAGCTTGGAATACCTCACCTCTTGGTGTCCTCACCTGTAAAATGGAAAAATGACAAGAGCCTGCTTCCTAAGGCAGTTGGAAACATTAAATGAGACAACAGATACCAAAGTCTCAGCACCAGACCTGCCACCATATTTGAGTTTCATTAATGGAGCTCTGGGATGGGTTTATTTCGCCACTTAAGGAATGCCTACTGCACACTAGAGCCTGTGCTGGGGGCAGGGAGGGGGGCTGCATCTAGGACGGAGACCATATCCTCGGGGAACTAACGGAGCTAAGGGGCAGAAGTCAAGGTGCACCGTGTGCTTAAATATCTAAGCTGTAAGGGCTATAGGGAAAGAGCTATTTAATTTTTCACCCCCAAACAGACTATTAATGTAGTAATTTATATAAATAGGTAGGGCTGGGGAACAGAGAGTCATTTTGAGGAAAGGAGGATAATTTTGGTCTCCAACCATTAGGGCCATCTCAGCCCACAGTGTCCCAGGCCAAAAGTGGGTTGTAATGTGAGAACCTCCCTACCCAGAGTGGTTCAGCTCAGGCCAGCTTTTCCCAACATTACCCTTCCCATAAGCCTCTGCGTCATCTGCGGAATGACCTGGGCCCTTTGGAAGGCAAGTAGGTGTTAAAGCCCTTCCATTTTCTACCCCAGTTGAGATGCGCAGTGTGAAAGGAATCACAAGAAAGGATGGGGTTATAATTTCATATCCTGGATCGGAAATGTCTGGGCAGAGCTCGTCAGGTGAGGAGGGACAGGGAACGGAAAACTCATCGTCTGGGAGCCCAGACTCTCCCCTGCCACCCAGAGCTCACTCTTTTCCACTGTACTCCAGCATCTGCACCCAGGCAGCTCACTGAGAATAGTACTATCAAGTTAGTGTTATAACAATGCATGTTATTATGTTAGTATTAGTACCGTGATTGTAATGAAATTAGTATAATGCTATTACTATTACAACAATATTCTGCACCCTGTGGCATTTATCCTGTTGCTCTTCACTGGTCTGCTTCCTCTTGCCTTGGATGCCCAGCAGAGACCACACCTTATGCTTCCCTAAATCCCCCAGGCCACGTTATGATGCTGAGCACACCGCGTGTCTGTGTGTGTATGGGGGGTACTGCGTGTACGTGAAATATCTAATGATCAGAAGGGAGAAGGAAGCAGAGAACAGAAGAATCTAAGACGACCAGGGAAACCTAAATCATGTACTCACTGAGAGGACACCCACATTTCCATGTCCTAAGCTCCTAGCCTGAGTACGAACATATCTTCGTTCCCACAAATGCCGTAGCCTTTTCTGAGGATGCCACTGTTTGAGAACCGTAATGGTTTGATCTTTGGAGCGCAAGTTACAAAGGTTAAAAATTCCGAACTCATATTTCATAGCTGTATGACCTTCCATAAGATGCTAACCTCTCTTGGCCTCAGTTTCTTCCTCTGCCAAATGGGCAGTGTTGCCTGAGGTGAAGAGCCCAGATTTTGGGTACATTTTCTGCTAACTAGCTCTGTGATCCTGGGCCACTTATTCTGAGCCTCAGGCTCTCCATCTGCAAACTGAGGATAATCACCCCTATCATGTGGATCCTGTAAGGAGTGAGATGGCATACACCACGTGCCTGGAACACAGCGGTACCCCTCACCTAGCACTCATGCGCAAGGTTCCGGGCTCCGAGCCAGGAGAAGGCAGGAGGGCACACGGGGGCTCACCTTTGTCCTTGATGAGGTTCTGCACCTCCTGCTTGACGCTGTCGTTCCAGTGGGTGATGTCCACATGCAAGGCATAGTCGCAACAGCTCTTCCCATCTGCCCACTCTCGCCACTTCTCATAAGCCTCTGTCAGGCTGGCCTCGGGCTCGGGCACCACGTGGTCAACTGAATGACAGAGGCCCCAGATGGGTAAGTCACTGACACCGCCTCTATTCCCCTCTGAACAGGCCTGCTCCGGCTCGCTTAGCTAAGGTTGCAAAGCCTCTATGTCCTGAGCATGGAATTCACCTTAGAAAGTGTTCCCTGGCCGTTTCCAGATCGCTGATCACTTACCTGTCACTTACCCCTGTTGCACTTGGACAAACTACTACCTTCTCTAAACCCCAGTTTGCTCATCCTTGAAATCGGCGCTCAGTGGGGTAGAGGGTGGAATGTCATAGTCCCTTCCTTCTAATTTTGTTGTATGATTAAACGGCAAAATGCATGAAAAGTATCTCACCTGATGCCTGGCACATAGTAAGTGCTCAGTAATGTCAATGAGTGCCTACTATGTGCCATTATTACCAGTATTATGGGAAGTCACTGCTAGTGAAGCAAGTCGGACTCCCTTTTAAGGTGGAAAGAGGGGAATTAAAGTGATGTCAGGTAACAGGACAGTGACATCCTTGTGCTTACTGCCACAGCAAAGAGCCAGTGTCACGAACCTGATGCTCAGCCCACAGATCTTATTTCCATGTCAACTTTTTGTCAAGAATATTTTTACTTGGGGCGCCTGGGTGGCTCAGTCAGTTAAGCGTCCGACTCTTGCTTTCGGCTCAGGTCATGATCTTGGGGTCCTGAGATGGAGCCCCGCAGTGGGCTCAGCTCTGAGTCTGGCTGTCCCTCTCCCTCTGCTCCTCCCCCTAGAATAAATAAATAAAATCTTAAAAAAAAAAAAGAAAGAATATGTTTTCTTTTGAGGCCCAATCTACTCCTGCAGTACCTGCAACCGTGGGCAGCACTGTTCAATAGAATGACATTGACGTTCGGGGAGGATAAGACAATAGTACCACTCCCATAGCTCCCTTGGGCGGCTGAGGGGAAGTGCAAATTGGTACAACGTTCCTACGAACGATTTTGAAATACACATCAAAAATCTTGATATTTTTCATACCTTAACTCGATGATTATTCCTGTGCCTAAGAATTATTCCCAAGGAAATAGAACACGCTGTTTGCAAAATGTGGGTGCTGAAGATGTTTGCCACTGCAAACATTATTTATATGTTTACTTAAGTGAAAAACTGGAAACCATCAAAATCTTTAACAATAGAGAAGTTTGGCTAAATAATAAATAAACCTTCATAAGATGGATTATTAGGCACCCATTTTAAATGCTGTAGTGGAATGAAAATAAATGAATGGAGGAGCGCCTGGGTGGCTCAGTCATTAAGCGTCTGCCTTCGGCTCAGGTCATGATCCCAGGGTCCTGGGATCGAGCCCCACATCAGGCTCCCTGCTCCACGGGAAGCCTGCTTCTCCCTCTCCCACTCCCCCTGCTTGTGTTCCCTCTCTCGCTGTGTCTCTCTCTGTCAAATAAATAAATAAAATCTTTAAAAAAAAAAAAAAAAGAATGAATGGAAAGACATCCATGCCTAGATTATTTAGTGAAATGATACACTAAAACACCACTAAGACACAGTACATCTATTACGATCCTGTTTCTGCTTCATAGGAAGGAAACTATAGCCAAACTGTAACAGGGATGTGGGCTTTCTGGGTTTCCTTCTCTTGCTGCATATCCAGGGTCTTAAATTATCTACAAAGGACATGTACAGCTTTGGGTTTCTTGGTATGGTTTTCTCTCGTCACCTGCAACTCTGCCTTCCCTCTAGCTCCTTCCCTAACCTAGAGGACCAAGCACAACACATACTCCCCGGACACTGAACAGGTCCAACTCCCTGCCCGGAAGGCAGAGAGCCAAACCAAGACCACTCACTTCCTTGGCCTCCTACCGCAGGCAGCCCACGTGTGCTTATCAGAAAGCAGACGCAAGGAGCCGCATCACTGACGTCTGGACCTACACCAGGGCTTCTGTGGGCAGGCAGCCGCTGAGAAGTCAGCTGGCTTCCTCCCTTTGAATGGAGAAAAGCTTTGGTCTCCCTGAATTGCACCTTTTACGGCCTTGATGCAATTTTCCTGGGCTTCCACACCCAACTTGCTGGAGCTCAACCTTGCTAGTGCTCCCGTCAAAAGGAGGCAAAAGACAAGGAGCAACTCCACAGCTCAGGCTGTTCTGTGTTCTTGGATGGGTGTGTACAGTGGTAAAATAAACAGTGCTCTTGCTGACCAAGCTTAGTCCCAGGACTGGGATGGGACCCAATTCCTTGGGATTCCTTTGGGACAGGAAGGACTGCCTTGGAATGCTATCTGTTCCGTAATCCAATGGCACGCAACTCCCTAGGTTTCTCTGGAATTGCAACAGTTCCCAGAAAGAAAAAAAAAGAAAGAAAGAAAACAGAAACAAAAAACAAAGGAAACCACCCCCACCGCTTGCCTCATCTTCAGATAGGAATTGGTCAAGAGACAGAGCAGACCAGGTACCAGTCAATGCCACCGAAGCCCACGAGTTTCAAGCAGGGCAGGTCCCCACCACCTTCCCCTCTCGGGGATGCTGAACCCCATTCACACTGCTCTGCCTGTGCTCTCTGCCCCCTCCTGCCTCAGGCCCGAGCTGAAAGTGCTAAATAACGTATGGCCCATCTCCACACTTTTCTCGGTGTCCGGCCCACAGATGATTGCTGATTCCCCACCCACTGCACACCCAGCCCCTGCTCTCAGGGACAAGAGAGGACAGCTGTTTTCCTGGCCGAGAGCCTCGTGAATCTCATCTAGGCAATGTCAGGGAGCTGTCAAGGTCCCCACTACCACAGGCTGTCCTCAGGTCCCATCAGGTAGAAGAGCTGTACACTGAACCGAGAGGCATGTACAAGCTATTGCCAGAGAGCACAGGGGTTAAGCCGTCAGTGGAACCAGTCACTTGTTGGGACCAGGAGCGTGTAGGGTCGGGCGACTCACTGATCATGGTGGTGCCCCCAGCTAAGGCAGCCCTTGTCCCTTGGAAGAAGTCATCCACTGTGGTCATTCCCTTGTATGGCATCTGGAAGTGAGTGTGGACATCGATGCCTCCAGGGATCACCATCTTCCCATTGGCCTCGATGGTCTTCACTCCTCCAGGGACAATCAGATTGTCTCCAATTTGCCTGGTGAGACAGGGAAGCAACTGGTCATTTAAAAGAGCCACTTTGAAGACAAACATAGCATTGTAAGGATTTTAGACATGCTTAGAGTGGTCTTTGCAAATGACCTGCAAGCTTAACAATCCAGAAACAAATGAAGACAGGCGTACACCCGGAAAACAACTTTTATAGACGCAAAAGCAGCTGATCTGCTGCTTGGTGGAACCGTGGGTCCTGGCTCAGTGCTGCAACCCCAGGGGCTGGACAGTGTCTACAATATAGGGTGTGTAAGAAATATTTTTTTAAAGGGGGCGCCTGGGTGGCTCAGTCGTTAAGCATCTGCCTTCGGCTCAGGTCATGATCCCAGGGTCCTGGGATCGAGCCCTGCATCGGGCTCCCTGCTCTGTGGAAAGCCTGTTTCTCCCTCTCCCACTCCCTCTGCTTGTGTTCCCTCTTTCACTGTGTCTCTGTCAAATAAATAAATAAAATCTTTAAAAAAAAAAAAAAAAGAAATATTTTTTTTAAAATAGGTGTTTTTGGTATCCCTTTCATTTTGTTCTTTATCTGAGTAAAGGGTGAGTGTAACATCTGGAAAAGAATTAAGAGAATGTAAAATAATGAACCATTAGGAGGGACTGAAGGAAGTAATGAATCATCTAGAGAATACGTATGTGAACTTAGCTATCCTCTTCAGTGAGTCCATCTGTCTTCCTAACAAGAGGAATCTGCAGCGGTAATTTTGTATGTCAGTCTTCACTCCCAATTCCACCTTTCCCTGATAACTTATCTGTCAATCACAGCCAAAGGCAGATTCAAAGGAGGAAGCCGAAGACGCAGACGCCCAGCTGTGGACGTCTCAGCAGAAGCATCAAGCCAAGGAGGGTGGTGCAGACAACCTCTACCAGACACACCTTCGCCCAGGAAGCTTCAGCGCATCCCCGGGAGGAAGAAGGGGGATTCGGGTGGGGAGGAAGCTGACGAGTACCCCAGAGACACACTACCTACACCAGTCAAGTGACAGAGACAACTACTCCTGGCCAAATGTTACCTTACAGACTGCCTGATGTTCCTTGGTTTATAGGTGACTTCACACCCTTGGTTTAAATGGCCAGTTAATTCTGGGGAGACTTAAGATTCACAAGCCTTGACATTACTATTATACACCTCCTACGTTGGGGAGAGCGGTACCCCACCACCAGTAGCATGAACACGTTCCCCTCTTGTTCACAGCCAGCCCAGACAGACTCCCTGTCGGGACAGTAAGAAGTCCACCACCGGCCTCCCAAAATCTAAGTTCTGCCACTAAAATAAAGTATTCCTGACATCTCAAAGAGGTCAACTTCACCACAGCCCCACTGGGCCATTCCAGAGCCACCACAATTCAAAACACGCTGTGGAAAAAATGCAGCCTCTGATTATACTTCCATTAGAGTCCAGATACAGGCCACTATGTTCCCATTTTTCTCCCTCCCTGATCCTCCTCTGAGGCAAACTGAGAACCCAGGCCATGAAGAGTTAGCTACCCAGCCCGTGTGTGTGTCTGCGTGTGTGTGTCCGCCAGTTTTGAAAACGAGTGGAATACCATGTCTGAAACAGAAACGCCTTCCCACTTTTTCTCCACGGAGCCACTTAAGGTCACGTGAATCCTTGAAGGCTTGGCTTCCATCTCCCCTCCTTGGTCAAATCCCAACTGACAGCCAGGTCTAATAATTAAGAGTAGAGATCTGCCCTGGATGCAGACTGTGTGGGTTCACAATCCTGGCTCTGCTAGTTACTAGCTTTACGACCTTAGCCAAGTTGCTTACCCTCACTATGTCTTAATTCCTTCCTCTGTAAAATGTAATAAAAATGCTTCCTCCATAGATCTGTCATGTAGATTAAGTGTTAGTATGTGTTAAGCCCACAGAACCCTGCTAGGCACAGGAAAATTCAGTAAGCATCAGCTATGATAATTAATAACCATGCTAATCCCACATAGCACACTCCTTCCCCCTGAATCTCATCTACTCTTACTTTAACCCTTGTTACAGATAATATCCGGTAATGTTATGCCCTTTGCATAAATACAGATGTCTCAGTCCCCTTAAAAGACTGTAAGGTCCTGGGGGAAGATGTGGGTCCCAATGACAGTCACCATAGCATGTGACAAAGCATGGGTCCCGTGCCTTAGACAACCACCTTCCAAACAGCAGACACTCCATAAACCTTCACAGATAGACAAATAGCCATATAACAACTGGAGGGAATTATTTCTGTTTTTATGCTCTGTGATTTCAGAATGTTTCTAAAGGTACAGAAAATGTCAGAATTGGATGAAGATCCTGTTAATCCACTCTTCCCTCCACCACCACCACACACATCTGATGGTTACATCCCTTCTATGACATCCCTGGCAAGCAGCCTTCTCCTCTATTCTAATAGAGACGGCATCTCTGGAAGTAGATGCCTGACTCACTGTGTGAAGATGGATTCTGAGCCTGTATTTAAGGCTCAACTGTGAGAAGTGCCGTGATCAATTAGTGATGCCCGTCATGAGCTCTGAAATGAGGAAGGACTACTAGGTACTACTTTTTTTTTCCATCTCTGAAAATCTCTAAATGAGGGAACTTGCTATCTCCAAAGAGAGCTGACGATATACAATAATTTCTTAGTAAGAGAAAAATATAAGATCATTTGGGGTTTATCTTTTGAAGAAATTCTTGTTTCACACTGGTTAGCTTGCCTACTGTTTCCATTTTTCCTATTTCTAATATGAAAAAGTGTTTATGGGGACGCCTGGGTGGCTCAGTCGTTAGGCGTCTGCCTTTGGCTCAGGTCATGATCCCAGGGTCCTGGAATCGAGCCCCACATTGGGCTCCCTGCTCGGCGGGAAGCCTGCTTCTCCCTCTCCCACTCCCCCTGCTTGTGTTCCCTCTCTCGCTCTCTCTTTCTGTCAAATAAATAAATAAAACCTTAAAAAAAAAAAAAAAGAAAAGAAAAAGTGTTTATGTAGGTAAGGCGACTAAACAAGAGTATCTTCATTCATGCATGTTTATTTATTCATTCACTCATTCATTCATTCAATGTACTTGATTAATATGTTGATCGTTAGCAAGTTGCTTCCTCCCTGTGTTCCTCTTTCTCCTCATCTGAGAAAAAGGTAGTAATAGTACTTGCTTCCTGGAATTGCCGGCAGATTAAAGGAAATGAGGCATGTAAAACATTTAACAGTGCCCGGCCCATGCTACAATGTCACTAAAAGGTAGCTCTTGTAAAAGTCTCTCCGTGCTAAGTACTGAGTTAAGTGCTCAGATATGGAGATGAACAGGACACGGTGCTTGCCTTCAGAGTGCCCAACAGTGTCAGAACCGCTGTGACTGAGAAAAGCACAAGGGGTTTTGAAGGCTCACAGAAGGGAAACCAGCCTAGATTTGGGGGCTGACAAGGAATAGCCACCTACAGAAAGTTCTATCTAAGCCAAGTCTTCAAAGATAACGAAGAGATCCACTATGGCCAGAATCTCACACTAGCCAGTGAGTTTAGATAATGTAAACACAAACTGAACAAGGTCAGGGATGGCTAATAAGATGGATTGGATACACCGATCTTACACAGTATCTTTTCAACGTGGGGGCATATCTGGCTCTCTGTGATGAAAGGCTATGTGTAGACCAAATCCTCTTTCACGGGTTACTATGTAGGGAACCTGCACAAAAAGGGAACGCAGCTGCACCGCTTACGGGCACCCAATAACAAATCATTTTGTAAGGTAAGTGTACATCCCTGAAGTATCTATTTGAAAATCTTGTCTGAGATGCATGTCCCATCTGCGCTCGGCCCACCTAGGTTCTACCTAAGCCAAGGCTCAATTCAAACGCCCTCTCCAGCCCCACACTACCTTCTGAAGGGATTTCTCCTTTCTGTGCATTTATCTTCACTTGAACTCCTTTGACACCAACTGCACAAGGCCTTATATTTTTAGGGTGCTGTCATTTTGTGCACATTTTTTCAATAAACTCAAGGACAACAGTCACATCTTCCACTTCTCTAAGATGCATAGAGTGCCCATCAATATAGTTTGCACAAAGGGGCCCGTAGCATCATTTGGTTGATTGAATTCAGATTTCTCACTTCATTCACAAGACTCATATAAATTAAGGCTAGCTCCCATTTTAAGGGATTATGTGCATCCAGAATGAAGGGTTAAAATAAAGATTCACTTTGGGGCACCTGGGTGGCTCAGTCAGTCGAGCGTCCAACTCTTGGTTTCAGCTCAGGTCACGATCTCAGGGTCCTGAGATGAAGCCTCACATCGGGCTTCATGCTCAGCAGGGAGTCTGTTTGAGGATCTCTCCCTCTTCCTCAGCCCCTCCCCCTGTGCACTCTCTCTTTCTCTCTCTCAAATAAATCTTTAAAAAAAATAAAGACTCATTTTTAAGGAGAAGAAGAAATGAAACACAAAGAATCAAAGGTCTAGGAAGCAAAAAAGAAGCAAGCTTCTTTCTGAGCCTCTAATGAAGAAAGGAAGTACAAAAAGATAAAAATAAGGTTCTAGGGGTGCCTGGGTGGCTCAGTCGTTAAGCGTCTGCCTTCGGCTCAGGTCATGATCCCAGGGTCCTGGGATGGAGCCCTGCATTGGGCTCCCCACTCGGCGGGAAGCCTGCTTCTCCCTCTCCCACTCCCCCTGCTTGTGTTCCCTCTCTCGCTGTGTCTCTGTCAAATCAATAAATAAAATCTTTAAAAAAAAAAAATAAAGTTCTACATACTTACTTTATTAAGCCATCTTCCATGTAAATATCAGCATAAAAGGACTGATCATCGTTGACAATTCTACCGCCCTTGATAAGAAGACGGTCACTCTAGAAAAGAATGCAAACATAAGTCATTCTCACAGCTAGGAATTCAGAGAAGAGTGGTCTGCCAAGGTTTTCCCAGCTCACTGTTCTAGAGGTCTAGGAGGAACACATTTACTTAATACATCTGTGTGCTCAATGCACTAGTGTTTGAACTGGGTATATTGGGGATCCAGTCTTTCACGTTTGCCCTGAATTCAGATTATTCTACAGTTTCACATCTTGCTTCTACAACCTACCATAGCCACTCAGAAACATCACTACTTGAGGGAAGACACTCTTTGTATTATCTTTCCTGGCTCAGTAAGCAGTAAATATTTAAAGGGGTATATAATATATACCTCAGTGCCTAGCACCCCGTTGGGGCTCAACAGTGATTCTCAAAAATGGAACTTGGGATCATACAATGAAACAGCCTCTGAAAGTCTTTATAATGATGTGAGGATCACGTTATGTTTAAAATTCAGGATATTTACACATGTATGAACATGTGCACACAAGGTTGTAGAATGTGTGGGAAAAGCAGTGAATGGAAAAAAGACAAAATAGCTATAGTATTCTATAGTATTTAACCCAGGGTGGAGAAATTATGCAGGATTCATATTTGCTTCATTAAACTCACATTTTCTGAAATGTGTTTGTTGCCTTTATTATGAAAAAAAAATTTGCCTTTCTTATAATTAAAGTCTTTTAAAAAAATTATAGCTTAGATGAACTTTGGATAAGTGATCCAACTGGAAACAATGCACATACACTCCAAGGTTATTAAGAAAATATAGGGGCGCCTGGGAGGCTCAGTCAGTTAAGCATCTCCCTTCAGCTCAGGTCATGATCCTGGGGTCCTGGGATCAATCCCAGTGTCGGGTTTCCCACTAGTGGGGGGTCTGCTTCTCCCTCTCCCTCTGCCATTCCCCCCCACTCATGCTCACTCTCTCATGCTCTCTCTCTCAAATAAATAAAATCTTTAAGAAAGAAAATATAAACATATAGTTCATATATTTCAAGAGAGGAACCAATCAGAGTCAGCTTCCAATATCACAGATTTCATTAAAAGAATGAATGGAGTTTGGACTGTAGCATGAAGGGTAGATGCCGCTTTGCTGGTTCCTGAGGGAGAAGGGAAATCCAGAAAGGAGCCTGGCTGAGTGGTACAGCTTGAGAAGAGAATGGTACGTTGCATTTTGTTAAGAATTCAAATTACAGACTTCAACTCCATCTGCTCACCCATCCATCCGTCCATCCATCCATCCATTGTTCATCTATCCACTCATCCAGCAAGTAATTATTTAATATGTATAACTAAATACATAGAGAGGATCCAGTTGTGAATGAGTCATACCATGCCACTGCTTTCATGAAACCAAAAGGGGATACTTGGCAATCAAGAAAAAAGAAAGTCAACCCAAAACAAATAAAACAACGTAAAACTGTATCAAGTGTCACAAACTATAGGGGAGTGGGCTTGTTCAAACAGAGGCAGAAAGAGGCCTTTGCGGGGAAGATCACATAGATCTCTTGCAGAGATGAAGGTGGCAAGGCAGGCAACTGGCTTTCAAAAAGGACATCAGTTTAATGGGGGAGGAAGCCCACAAACAGGCTGACTTGTGGCTTCGGAAATAAAAGGGTGTGAACAAGGCCAGAAACTGAGAATTGAGGCTAGGCATCCATATGAGATACAACAAAGTGCCACTTAGTTCCTCCCACTTCCCAGGGATTACATGAGACTAGGAGATTTCATCACGCCATACTGTCAGTGGAGAGGCTCTGAACGAGATACAGATCAATAAGGCACCCAGGAAAACCCCCATATATGCTGCAAGGAAGATGCGTGAATGACATCAACCGCGAAGTCCCACCACACGTGATCCACAAGCCCCTCCCGATCTGGCATTAGTCCGTAGGCCCGTCCTCATTTCCATCATGTATGGCCTCGTGTTTCATACCATGGCAAAGTAAGAAACATGTGGTTATTGTCATGTAGCAGGCTCCGTGGCCACTAAGCCTTTGCAACAAAGTTCCCTCTGCCCTCTCCCATGTTCATGTGGCTTCTGACGACCACCCTCTCCTTTGTCAAGCCTCCAGTCGAAGGGTTTCTCCTGTAGGATGCGTTACCTGACTTGCCAGCAAATTCCACCTGCTCTCCTTGCAATTTAGTTCAAACAACTCTATTGTTCTAGAATTGCTGGTTTCCTGTTCCACTGTCTCCTGACTAGAGCAAAGATTCCTTTGGTCTTGGGACCATGTATCTTTTGATCTTTTTTACCTTCATTCCTGGAGCCCATCCTAGACAGCTGTTAAATATTGGTAAAACAGATGGGTGAAGGGTGGGACACAGGACGCTGAATCATGTCATTGTGATGGAAGGGCCATCTGAGTCACAAAACTATGTGATGTGGCCAGAAAACTGGACTACTGTTTTAACAGTAATTGCAAAATTATATGAGGCAATCCCAGGGCTGTGCTTCCTAAACTAGGGTGCACATTAAGAGACTATGGATTCCCAGGCCCAGCTCTAGGCCACCAAATTGTACTTCATAAACTCCACAAATGGCTCTCATGCAGCCATCAGCCAGCCCAGCACCAAGGAAGAGACCAGAACCAGAGACCAGGGTTCTGTGTGTCCCAGGCACAGTTCTGTGTCTAGGGAGGCAGCAGAAGCTTCATAATAATAGTCCTGGTAACTATACAGTTTCCCTCTAATAGCTCAGTGCTCTTCTGATGTTCTTTATCTTCCTAGCAAAGAACTGAAGTAAAACAGCTTTGTGGAAAGGGGCCAGCTACTGCCTGTAGTGAGCCCAGGTATGAAATATGACCACCCTCCTGCCTAGGGAACATCTAGCCTAGGGAACAACTGCTGTGATCATTACCTCCTTCAACAAGCATCAAATATCAGCAGAGGGGCAAAAACTATCTCAGGCCCATGGTACATACTAAGAGGTGAGCCAAGTGGAATTGACATCATTGAGATGGCATCATTGGAAACTCTTCAAATGCTAATTAAATACACCTTCTCTGGCTCAATAGTCAGGAATCTAAATAGATAGAGCACAGAGATGAATTACAGGCCTGGTGTAAGTTTCAGAGATAGGAGTAACAAGACTCTTGCTCTATGGACAGCTATAGTATTCATATTATTTCTTTTCGTCATGCAGACCAGAGATATCCAAACCTCAATTCATAGAGCTTGAACAAATGCTGTCCCTGGAGGTCCCCAGCTTGTCCCCTACCTTTTATTAAAGGGGTTTGTAGGGGCACCTGGGTGGCTCAGTTGGTTGAGCGACTGCCTTCGGCTCAGGTCGTGATCCTGGAGTCCCAGGATCAAGTCCCGCATCGGGCTCCCTGCTCAGCAGGGAGTCTGCTTCTCCCTCTGACCTTTCCCCCTCTCATGCTCTCTCTCTATCTCATTCTCTCTCAAATAAATAAATAAAATCTTTATTAAAAAAAAGGGGGTTTGTAAAACTACTTCATTAATTTTAACTCCTTCCATGCATGTGGGATCCACTACAAAGGGTAGCCTAGGCAAACTCATCAGACACAGGAAAGTCTGAAAGGCAAGCCTGGGGTTTGGCCTTGAAGAACAGCAGAACTACTGACCACCCCCAGGTTACATAAAACCAAATGTTACTGGTTACAAAATATGCTTGCCTGTGAGTTCACAGACCAGCCCTATAGAGGAACACACGCTAGGCTTGAAAACCCACAAGACAAAGAGATCTGCCATCTATGATTGAAAGTCATCCTCCATGATGTTAGAAAGGACTGGTGAATGGGTCCCTGCAGGGCTCTTCACTTTCCATTCCCAGCCGCTGACGGTGTCCAGAATCCATGAGCTGATGCCCAAAGAGGTGAAATGGTCTAGTCCGGACATCTAGCAAGGTTTCTCACGTGATGATATATACAAAGAATGATGGTATCTCTAGAGCACACTGGGATCATCTGGAACCCCAAATAAAGCTATTCAGAGCCTAAAATAACCAAGGACTCTGACTGCCTTGGGTCCTACTCTGCTGCCAAGGGCTGAGTATGGTGAGGTCTTGGAGGCCAGTGAGGCGCCAGGCATTCCAGCAGGCCAAGCTGGGTCCAGCTGGCTTCTCCCATGGCTGAGAGAATCAGGTGGACCACTTAACGAGGTGTGTGATCTTGAGTTAGGATTTAACCCCCCAGAACTTCAGTTTTTATGAGCTCAGAGTGGATAATAATACCTAGCTCACTTCACAGTGTGGCTGCCAGGAATAAATGAGGGGGGGAAAGCATGTGTGCATGGGTATTTGTGTGTGTGCACACACGCACATATCAAATAACTAACACACAGTAAACACTCCTAAATATTAGTTATATTGATTCCATTCAAATTATTTACAGCACTTTAAAATATTTTTAAAAGCCTTAAATTGAGTATATTGGAGAGAGACTGATCCCATTTTCCAAATGCGGAGATCCGCACAAAGGTGAGCGACTTTCTCCAAGCGACAGAGCTGATTAGTTCCAGTTGGAAGCGAATCCAGGTCTCCTACCTCTGGGCACTGGACAGATTTCCACCTGAGGCCAGTGAACCACTGATCCTTAAGCCTTACGACAAAGGGCTCTTTCTGACAGGGCTCTCTTTACTGTTTGCTACTAAATCTGACTGTTACAGGGCTCAAACTGATGACCAGTTCTCTGTGGCAGGTAACTTAAGGAATCCAATAACTTTGAAGACACGACTTATAAAAGCAGTGTATTAAGCCTGCCCCTTATGGCCTGCTTATAAAGGGACCTAACTTACAATCCAGGGTAGCACCAGCCCTTCAAGTCTGACAACGTCCAATCTTTTTACCCTCACTAATGTATAGTAATGATTAGAAAAATCAACCATAAAAAATGTGGAGTTTATATCAGAAAAAGGGAGAGAAGAGACAGAAAGAAAAAGAAGGGAGGAGAGAGAGAGAGAGAGCGAGGGAAAGAGGAAGGAAGGGGGAGAAGGAGGAGGAGAAAAGAAACTCTGTAAGGAGGGATGTGGTTAAGA